TGAGTATTTTGTATAAAACATGAAGCACGTCAGATTAAGAAACCCCATATATTTCTCTCTAGAGAGATATTTATCTGAATAACTTGAGCTTTGGTGTATGTGGCCTTCAAGCACAGAAAAAAACCCCAACCAGATAACCAACCAAAAGACCTTGATAATTTATATTGTTATCTCATTAGACAAGGAGTCTTCATGAAAGATTTTCTGGCTTAAATCTCATATATAGAATGTTCTAACTTACTTCTTTTGCTGCATCCTAGGCAGCCAAGTCTACAATTTAAAAAGTAATTTAATAGAATTAATTTTAATATGTTACTTTATGGTATTCATAGGTTAATGTTCTGCAATACTGAAGGACAAAAAAAAAAGGAATGTGTAATTTTTTAGTATGCATAACACCGAGTATTTCAGTCAAAACCCTTCCATTCTAGGCACAGAATATGGTTGCTTGGACTTTGTTTCACAACTGCTTTGCAGTCAATGTATTCGTGACAAAATTTTCTTCTCTTTTTAGAAAAATGCCTACAGCATTTCTCGGTGCTATTAGACAGAAGCTGTATAGTGAAGGTGTTTTGGAATAGTCAGAAATAAACCAGTATAGAATTCCAGCACTACCTACAGGGATTACTTTCCATGTATGTTGCTACTGCTGACTCTGATGTGATTCCTGGTGCAGCTGCGAGTGAGCAGTGGAACCAAGGGCACACAACCCATTGTTCCTGCCAGGAAAAATAAGGCCATGTGGCCAGGAAAAATGCTCAGCCACTGCTGCAGAATATTGCCTGCTGCTCTCAGCTGCAGCAGCAGGAGCCCAGGCATTTAATGCAGCTCCCTGCTTGTTCCCTCTGTACTCCTTTTCCCCCGTGGCACCAGCCAGAGCGACACTGTACTGGTGGTACGGGAATGTTTCCACAATCCATTTGCTGCTGTCACAGAGCTTGGCAAACATTTGTTGCTAACAGCAACTATATGTTGGTTTCAAAGAGAAAAAGTTATTTCAAGAGATTGTGTCCAAAACATTCTGATTTATCCTTCCACATACTTTTCCAGATGCTAAACTATCACTATTCAAAGAAAAAAGCAAGTGGACTACAGTAAGCACTTCTGTTATCAGAAGAAAGCTTTTTCAGATAGTAGATAAAACTATATCTTATTTACATTCACTTACAGCTGTGATTGTATTGATTTTGTTTTTATGATAAGGAACGTCTTCAACTTTCATGAATTACTACCATAATTATTGAGTCTGCTTTAATGTATGACAGGACTCTATATAAATTTTAAGTCAGTTGATACTGTTCTCTAATGAGAATTTTTGAAAGGAAGTAATTTAGCAACTGTGATCCCAAAACAACAGGAAATGAGCAATCCATAGCAGTTCATTTACCAAACATTATATAAATTATATGCTTCTGAGTCCAAAATTAAGTACATTATAAAACCAGAGAATTACTATTTATTTGATCCCAAAACACTACATGAAAAAAATATAGTCCTTCAGCACTCAAAGATGTAGAGGCCAAAAGCCTAGGCATTGACAAAAAGGAAATGTTACTCAATGCAAAATAAAGGGCACACTAACAATCAATACAGGAAGATTTTTGTGTGCTATGTTGGTACAAACTAACTTTACAGATGAGCTGTCTCTCCTAAAGCTAAGGTGAGTCAAGGGGCTTATTCCAGTCTCTGAGAGGAGCGAGGTAAAATATCCTGGCATTCCAAGTGCCTGTCCACGTGCTGTTGATGCCCCACGATGAATTATTCCAGTCTCTGAGAGGAGCGAGGTATTCCTGGCATTCCAAGTGCCTGTCCACGTGCTGTTGATGCCCCACGATGACAAGGCCGTGTCCTTTCAGAGGTCCAGGACCTTTCAGAAGTCCAGAGGTCCAGGCTCTCCGTGCCCCAGCTGGTGCTGACACTGCAGCACTGCCGGCAGAGCCTGAGCTGGAGCTTGGCACTGCCCCAGGCAGTGAGTGAATTCTGCTGGAGAGCACGGCCTCTCCCAAGACCCCATTTCACTGCCCAGAGCAACAGAAGCAGTGACAAAGGGTTACAGAGTGTAACTTAGTGAGAAGCGCAGATTGAGGATCTTGAGGGACGTAAATCACAATAATTAAAATATTGTAGGAGGGTTGATTTCAGGATATTAAAATGTCTTTATGATTTTTCTTGCATTGTTCAGTATCTGTTATAAATAATTTGCAACACTTCAGGAAAAAGAAAGCGGTTTCACGTGGGATCATGTTGGAATTGTGCCATCAGTTAAAGCTGAGCTGTGGTATTTGACAAAAAGCCTTGTGTCAGGGCAAAGTAATGACTATTGTTTGACAATTAAAGCTCAGAATTTTCAGGCAAAATAATGGACCATTTTTCTTATTCTACATGCATGTTTCATTTTGGCTCAAGAGGTTAATAGAACAAAAATATCCTTTGTTGAAGGATGGCTTTTTTTCTTTTCTCCTTTGGCCTCATTTACATTATTTCTTCACTTTGGTATCATGTTCTCAGATCAGCTCTCTCTTCTTCTTTTGTTTCTTCCCCTCCAGCCCACACATATGCTTTAAAAAAAAAAAAAAAAAAAAGAAAAGAAAAGGCATGAGAAAGAAAACCAAAACCACTAGAGGCTGGAGCTAATGCTGTTCTGGAAAACACTTCTTTTTTGAATAAGCTATTGCCAGCCAGCCACTTCCTTTCCCCCCAACTGTACCAATTTAAGAACAGTGTTTAGCAAAGTTTAGGGAAAAATTTTTCAAGTCTGTCTCCTAAATAACCATCCTATCATAATATTTTAGGAAAATTCAAAGCTGAGTCACATAAATTATAAATATATAAATATATATACTGTTGCTCTCAGATGCTAGGAGATCTGCAACTGGCTGTCTTAGAAAAATTCTGAGGCTGAAACGAATTGTATCTTAAAACACATACATTTCCTAAATGTTCTATTCCCTGCTTTATTCACAAACAACAGGGGATTCCCCTGTACACCTGTAAGATTAACACCAAATAGGAACTATAACATCTGTCTGCATAAATATAAGTCTGGTTTATGAAGGATTATCTAATCTTAGAACAGTTGTTCTGATAGAAGAATCAGGAAACTCTACCTATCACTGCAAACCCATCATTTTCCTGACATGGCAGACCTTTCATACAGAGATGGTTATGAATACCCATGTTGTTCCTATGAGAGTTTAAGAAATCTATTTTTTCCTTCTCTCTATCTGGAAAAAACCAACCTTTCTGGCAGAGAAGAAATTCTGGTAAGCAGAGGAAACTGGCACTTAGAGAAGAAGAAAAAGTGTTCTGTGTATAATCCCCTGGAAGGCCCTGTACAGCTCTCCCCACACAGCAGCAACAAGCTCGTGTGCAGATAGGTGGTACCTGGGAAACCTGAAGGACAATATTCAGAGGCTGGTTGCTCTCTGTAGGCCAACAGTGGGTGCTGCAGCATTGTCAGAGTTTGTTTCACATCTACAACGCAGGGTTCGTTAACAACATCAGTAATTTCAGTTATTTCCATTCCGTTATCTTCTTGTACTCACATAAATATTATGTCTACAGAACACTGCAGCTTCCAGTGTGTTGGTGTCTATAAACTCCTACTCATTATCCACAACAAAGATGACAAGCAGGATGTTCAACTGTCATCTCTAACATGCAATACTGAAATTTTGCATGAGGTCAGGTTTAAAATAGTGTATTTACATACTGTTTTAAAAGAGTAATAAAGCCACATTTATCTAGTTTGAGGAGTGCATATGTGAATATTTAAAACCCTCTGATAATTCTCTTCTATGAATATATATTTTAAATATATATTTTAAATATAGGATGGATGGATACCTAAGATGATGATCTAGCATTGTGACAAGTTTTAGTGGATAGGAAGATGGATGGATGGATGGATGGATGGATGGATGGATGGATGGATGGATGGATGGATGGATGGATGGTAGGTAACACCAGCCAAGTGTCTTTTCCCTGTTCATTTAAGGTATTCCCTGGAAAGACCTTTGCTGTCTGAGGGCTTGAAATGTAGACTGAACAGATCTGGTCCTTGGACAGCCAGCCCCCTCCCACGCTGTGTGGTGTAGCTATTTATGAACAAATGGGTTTATGCCTGCCTGAAGACAAAGGGCTGCTCTGTGCTGAACGGGACACAGATCTCAACAGAGCAGTGATGTGACAAAGGATGCAGCCTCTGCTGCTCAGAGCACTGGGCTCTGTTCTGGAACGCCCTCAGTGCCTGCCTTTGAAGCAGGTGAGCAATCCCAGGCAATCCAGCAGAGCGATGTCAAGTTACGGGATGCAGATCCATACCTAATAAGCCTTTACTGGCTTTCTCTGACTCTGTTTTTGGTGAGCAGGACCAAAACCATTTGGTACATAGTGGTGGAAGAACAGTCCTACCTCACCTGCTTCCTGAGCTTTACCCTTTTAAACTGCTACAAGCCACCATTCATGCACATGGCTGGAAGCTGCATGAGCTCCCAAGCCTGGCTTCCTCTCAGGTCAAGCCCTGCAGAAAACTAATATTTAAAAAAAATAAATAGTGGAATGAAATGTTCTTCTGGAAATACAGAACTGTACATAAATACTTAAATAAGTAAAAAATAATTATTGGGAAATTCTTGTTTCCACCATAAAGCCTACATCACAACTTCAGGGTTTTGCTAACGTGAGAAATCAGCATCGCTGTGCTGCTGCTGGTGCTCTGCGAGCCGCGGAGCTCCGGGCCGGCAGAGGGGCTGCGCTGTCGGTGCCCGGGCCGTGCCGCGGCTGTTCCGAGGGCGGGGCAGGGTCGCTGTGCGAGCGGGCAGCTCCGGGAGCTCCGGGAGGGCTCGGTGCGGCCGGCACGGCCGGGAGGGTGCATGGACACGCTGCCGCTCTCGCCCTCAGACCAGGGCTCCTCGCCGCTCCCGGGCGCAGCGGAGCGCGGCGCGCCGCCGCCTCAGGGGAGCGGGAGCGGAGGCGCCGCGGGGCGGAGCGCGGGAGGGAGGAAGGTGCCGCGGCCCCTCCCCGCTGCCGTGGAGCAGCAGCGGCGGCGGCCCCGCTTCCCCCGCGGGACTGCGCGGGGGACACGGTCCCGCCCCGGGGGCGGTCGGGGGCGGCCGGCCCGTCCCCTTTAAGCGGCGCGGCGGAGGGTCCCGCCCGCTCATTTCCGAGCACGCAGGAAGTGCAGGCGGGCTCCGCGCCGGCCCGCGCGGTGAGTACGGCGGCACCGCGCCCCTCCGCCCTCCCGCCGCCCCGCTCCTCCCCGGCCCCGCGCCCCTCACCTGCCCGCCGCCCCTCGCCGCTGCCGGCAGGAGGTGCCGCGGCGGGCCCGGCCCCGTGTCCCGGCCCGGAGCGGGCTGCGGCCAGCCCTCCCTGAGCGCCCCGGGCGGCCGTGGGTCTGCCCCGACCGCCCTGCCGCGGCGGCCTGGCGCACCGGGCCGCTTGGTTGTACCGTAGCGCTGTCTCAACAATAAAATGAGTCTGTCCCTCACGGCTGCGTTTCCATTGTGTTCGCTGGCCGTGGGCGTGCTGGGAGCGCGTTTTGCAGCCGCAGGCAGCGGGATGCAGCCGGCGGCCCCCCCGGCGCGGCGCAGCGCTGGAGCGGGCACGGGGCAGCGCCCGCCGCGCTCAGCGGGGCCCTTGGCGCTTGCTGCGGCCGCGAGAAACCCCCACTCCTTCCACCAGCCCCCAAAATAGGGGAAAGGATGGTCAGGGTGCTTAATTATCCTCAGTGGAATGTTGAGCATTGTTTAAACTGTGGTTTACATCTGCGTTTTTGTCAGACGCGTTGCTGCTCGGTAAATTCTGTGCTCTCGCACGCTGTGAGAGTTTGGTATTGAGCATAAAAATAAATTGTGTAATTGTCACCAGTCAATTAATTCAGCAATGCTAAAGCAGAAACGGGGGATGTTGCAATTTGCAAGACCTTTTTTAAACCTGAGTATGTAGAATTTTAAACTTGGTAGTATGTGTTTTCAGTGAAGTGTAAAGTGTTTATTCTGTGGTTTTGTTGTTTGTTTGTGCTTTCTTCAAGTCCTTCTGTCAGGTGGACATTGAGACACTGATCTCTTCTGCTAAACTTGTAGATGATGGATAAGGGCTAACTTTATTGTCCTCTCACTGGTAACTCAAGAACCGCAGAAAAGAGAGGTTGTTTCAACACTGAGTCAGTAGCTCTCAGTTTAAGTTCATACAGTAAAAATACCTTTTTTCCCCCTTTTTTTTTTTTTCCGTGGAGGCTGTAACGCTAGGCCTCATAGGACCGTTTCTTCTTTTCCAGCATGCACTAGCTGCAAGTTCCTATCTTGCTTTAGTGTGTTTGAAGGAAACTTCTGGCTTCCCTTTATTTATTAGCTGGATGGAGGGTCCCCAAGGAGCACCCAAGACAGCAGTTTGGAGCTATTCCCAGTAGCTGTCAGTGGTGGTAGATGCGTTTTGTGGAGGGGTGCTAGCTGCGAGCCTCAATCACACCCTGAGGCTCTTATGGGAGACTCTGCCAGTGAGTCCTTACCAGGAATATCAGGAGACCTGCACTGAGCATTGCTACAGCACCGCTGTCCTAAACCATCAGCAGCTGAACATAGGAGGAGGAATTGTTCAAGTACATGACTGTACTGCCCAAATAGACGTTCTTTAGCTTGTCTGTTGCTGGAGAACATGTGAAAACTTCAGTGTGATTAAGCTTAGTTGATCTTGAATAGTTCTTTTCCTTCTTGATCCCATGACTTAGTTTTAGCGTTTTTCTCAGGCTTAAGGAAGGAAGGAATAAAGGAGAAAAAGAAACCCCCAAACCTCTCAGTACGGCTGCTGCATTGTGGTAGAAGTTGCACCAAATTACTTTTGAATGCAAATTCTTTTATGTTCAAACTCCGGGATATGGGTCTTCCCGAGACAGTGAAAAACACCATCTGAGGGCATGATTAAATAATAAGTAGCTGTGGTCTGTTACCAAGAAAACCCACAAGCATATCTGGCACAAAAATTTCAACCCCTGCATCACAGTCTGCTACTTCACGCTTGCCAGAAGTGTTCTGTGGACCTCTTTATAAAAAGAATCCATCAGAATCACCTGAATTTTTAAAAGAGGGAAAACTAAACTCCCAGGAGGGTGGGTATGAGAAATATGAGGTCAGTTTTTTTCACTGCAGAAAACAAATTGCACAATATTTTTCTTGTCTCTGAAGCAGGCTGTCATTATGAGGCAAGCTTCATGACTTGCAGTATTTTCTCCTTAAATAATGCGGAAACAGGATCACAGAGGTGGGATGAAAGTCAGGCTTTGGATAAGTGCTGGAACTGATAATGTCCTTGGCTTTTTGTTAGCTCATCTGCCCTCTAAAGGATCAGCCCTTCAGAATAAAAGTTTGGAAAAAGACCATAATAATTTAGCTTCTGGAAAAATAATGTAGAAAATCGGCAGGAGTTTCAAGAGTACAAGACTTTCTTTAGTAAAAAATAAAAATCATTCTGAAGGGGCACATTGGGAAGAAAATATTTTCAGCAGCATATTGTTTTTAGAAAAAAAAGACCAAACCACAAATAACTGCTTTATCTATGTATCTAATTATGTTCTTTTAAGCTTAGTGCTGTAAGTGGGGAAATGAGACCAGAACTCACAAGGTGTTTATAAAAGAAATATAATGCTTTTTTAAGGGAATGGGGATATAGTTCTATTTCTGAGTTGGAACCACAGCTTATAAGAAGAAATTTGTGGAAGGGCACTTACTGTCTGCCAGAACAGCTTCATTCTGAATGATGATTAGAAAAGCTAAGCACATCCATTAATATTATAGCTCCTGAAAAAAAATCTGGAAGTGTGCAATTACTTTAATAGCTTTAATTTCTTTTTTATTAAGCTCTTAGAGTTTTTTTTTTTGAGGGCAGGAAAACTTCTGCAAGTTACAGCCCTCCAGTCATGAGTGCCTTTTGGTGCAAAAGCAGTTGAATAGGGTACTGTTTTAGACCCTGGTTTAGAGACCCACTGTGGGTGCAGCTAGCTTCTGCTTTTATCCAGGCCTTTTAAAAAAATTATTGTAAGCTGCAGGTATTTTGTGTGTACTTAAAAATGTAGACCGGCCAGTTATTCAGCTTAGTATTTCTTGGGTATCTAATACTTTGTGGTGTGTGTATTCTGAATTGGTGAATCTGATGGTCTCTGATAGCTGAGAAAAAAGAGTTATTTTAAAAAGAGTAAGAAGGTGATCATTGCAAGCTGTGTGTAGTCACTAAAGATGGGAGATTCAAGGAAAAAGGAAGATGGCTTTTTTTCCCTAATCCTTGAAGGTGCTGCATGTGCAAACATGGCACTAAAATACATGTGAGAAGCTTGCACTCTCTGCTGGCACTGGGCTGTCTGTGCTGCTGCTCTGGGTTATGGTGAGGCTGGCAGCAGCCAGCTCCACAGTTATTTCTGAATGGGGTGTGGTGGAATAATACCTTGAAACAATCTCTGCTTTACCTTACTTGTTTTGAAGGCTCCATTCACACACCAAATCCTCTAGAAACAAGTTGATAAAACTGGCAAGTTATTTCAAGCTGTGAGTGCAAATGTGAGCTCTGGAAAGAGAATCAACAGAGTTGGTGTTTGAGTAAAGTTCAGAGAATCTAAATCAGATGATGTGAGGAAACTATCTTGTGAGGAAATCTTGTACTTTTTAAATCAATTTCCTGACAATGATCTCCAGCTGTAATAAAAAGTGACTGTAGTGATTGGCCTGTTTACTGATTTGTGGCTGCCTGCAGTGTAGGTGCTTTCCAGCATGGTGCTCTTAGGTCTGATTTCTTCCTGTAGCCCTTCCTGTGTTCCTGGGCAGGTTTTGGTGTGGAGCCCATCTCCTGCCCAGCCTGCAGTGGAGGGTGCCCATGTCTCCTTAGGGAGGTGCATTTGAGGAGGGTGGTGCCAGCAGGGGCAGAGCTGCCTCTGTTTTTCTTCAGCCTTTCCCTCCTTTAATTCTTTCACTGGTGGAGTGAGTGGGTGGTGAAGGGCAGGTCTGTCTGGCTTTTGTTCTTACCCTTCCTCCTCCCCTGTACTGAGTGGTGGTGTTTCACTGGTGAAGCAGCTCCTGGCAGAGGGTCCTTCTCTTTTGGTGCTGGGCTCTCTGGTAGGGATGTCACTTGGGGCAGCTGTCCGGAAAGCACAGATCAGCACCCAACAGCCACCATATGCATCCTGCTGTCAAAAGTGAGGCTTCCCATCAGCTCCTCTACCATGCCCAGAAATGACCTAAAATGTCCATCAGTGCATTGCTTCAATAGATGGAGGGGTAAGAATGATTACCTGTGGGAGTCTGAGTACAAGTACACGCTTGGCAACTGAAGTAAAAGTGCAGAAAAGACAGCTATAGCTGTCTCAGCAGCAGAGGGGTGGCTGGGCTGATGCTGGGGGAGGGTTTGGTGGGAAGAACTAGGGAAGGTAATTTTACTCTTTTCTGGCATACTGGAGGGAATTTCTGTTCAAGGAAATCAATGTGCCACTTGTAGAGCAGAAGTAAAATTCTCTCATGGTTAACAAATCCTCTGGAGATAGGTTCTACCCACATACTTCTAATGGCTGTGACTGGCAGCAGTTGTCTCCTTTTGCTTGATGTAGCTCCAGGCTGGTTCTCACATGTTCAGAGTTAAAATAATGCAATGCAGAATGCAGGTAAGAATGAAAAGTAGCTTAGAAATACAATGCTTGCAGTTGTTGTATTTCCAAGTAAAATTGCTGAACAGATGAGGTTCTTTTGTATAGACACCTGCTTCTTGTATTTAACTCTGACAAATGAACATCAACCACAAAATGAGGTTAGTATGTCTGCACTGTTAATTGTGCTTTTTGTGAGGACAATAGATGAATGTTTTCATGGAAGACCAAAATTATAAGACACCTGAGTTCTCCAAAAAGTTGTATATGAACCTACAGCAGTTTTGTATTGACTAGTCCCAGTTAATTGTGTAAAGAAAAGGGCCCTAATAGTTTTTCCGATGCCACTTGCCAGAGACATGGAAGGACAGTTTCTGGCTTTCAGGTGTGTAATTGCAGTAAGACATGAAAATTTAAAGCTGATGGCTGAGGTGCTGCCGTACAGAGGTTCTGAGCTAATTCTGTGTGTAGATGTTGTGTTTGTAGTGTGTTGTGTGTGATAGTCAGCTGCAGTCAGATCGGTCACCAGGCAGATTTTCTGCTCCCCCAGTGTTGGTGTGTGATGTTTGTGTCTTCTCCGTAGAAAC